ATATATATATATATTAGAATTTAAGATGGTAGTGAAGTCATTCAGTTCATGGTCAATTAAAAAAAAGGGTAAAACACAAAAACAATTGGACTTAAATTCTGAAAAACTTTTCACTTCCCATCAAAGAGGCTTTCTCTATTTAAATAAATGTCTGGAGTGTGGAGCTCTAAGCTTTCTATTTAGGAAAAACATTCTTATATAAGTCACATGTCTGTCAACACCACCCACTTTTTACACCATCATACATTAGATAATTTAAAGTGAACTTGTATCATTTTAGTCATGCAGTCTCAAGTCACAAAACAAACACAGAGCTCTTTTACTTTTCAAATCAGGTACACAAGACTCCTGAAAATCTTACTAACTTAGCTTGTAATGTCAGTGTTTCCACTACCCTACCATTATCCAAGGAAGGCGGCCCACCCTGTCTATCAAAATCCCTCTTATGTTATTCTTTAACTAAATATTTCATCATCCAAACAAAATAACTTAAAAAGTTACTCACATGCTGAAGCATCCCAAAATTTGATTGAACCATCAGCGTGTCTTTAAAAAAAAAAAGAAAAATGGTTTTAAAAAATACAAGTTTATGAATGGAATTCAAGAAAAACAATACATTTTATTTTTGATTAAATACAAACCCTGTGATGATAATCTCTGGGTAACTCTGAGCTCCTTGGCCCCAGTTTCCACCACTAACAGGCCACTCCTGAAAAAAAAATAAATAAATGAAAGGATGTAACTGTCCATTTCTGTCTTTATTTATTTACTGAATCTGCCACAAGCATCTCTTATTGCTTTTAGGATTAGACAGTTTGTCTCCACAGCTAAATGCACAGATGTAAACTACAGTTTGGGGATGACGAACGAATAGGAAAAACTTACCTTCTTGCTGTAACCTTGTCGTTTCTGCCGGCTGCCGACAGAGTAAAGTGCAGGTATAAGTTCAGCAGGGCAGTCAGCGAAATACTCGCAACAGGTGACTGGTGACTCGTGGATGGACAAAGGGTACGGACTCTCAAATATGGGGTACCTGTCAGAACAACGAGCGACGCATCACACTCAGATTTAATATCCAGCATCAGACTGTTCATTGTCGCATAAAAAACTGGTTTACAGCTGAAAATTAAAGAGTAACAGCAAGTTTTCAGTTTCACATTATGTTGCTTTAAAATAAACTAGTTTTCTTGATAAATAATTTTAAAAAACTCTTAGAATGAAAACAGCAATCCTTAAATGATTGCAAACCTACCAAGTTTAATAAAAGATCTGTGTTGGTGCTAAAAATCTGTTGGGGATGACTCCCAGCTACTACCACACAAACCTTTTGCTCTTTAGTTTTTTTGTGTTAGCCAAGTTTGATTATTTTGAACTGGACATACTCTAAAAATGAACTAATTGTAGAGAAAATTATTTTCTTACTCAGTCATTAAAATTTGTCTAGTAGTTAATGAGGTATTTTGCCAACAGACAAACCAGGTTGAGTATGTTAAAGCCAGAGTTTTAGTAACACTTGGTGTATCCTATTCAAGATGGCCGTCACAGCTAAGTGTGCTTAGCAAACACATGACTATATCTAAGTCAGTTTTACAGATGTTGATCTAAGGTTGGTTTAGCAGCAGCTGAGTGTCCTCCTCAACACATACTGATATCAAAAAAAATCCTCCTGCTGCCTCTCGTTTTAGTTTCAATAAACAATACTATTACAGCTATAAAATAGTCACTGTAAGAGCAACAATAAAAAAGTAATATTAGAAACATTTATATATTTAAGTCAATGAACTTAAATCATGCTGAATATGAAATTTTTGTTTTAATTCTGTGAAACATGGTATTTCTGTAAAAGCTTATCACAATGACCCAGGCCTAGTCCTTTTACATTTAGTGCATTAAAACAAAGAAACAAAAACAAATGGGAAGGAACTTCTGTATTTGCATAATGCAAAATTACATGCATTGGTTTGAAAACAAATTTCCTTGAATTGAAACTGAATGTTAAGTTTTGAATCTGAATTAATTTGCTTTGAAACTGTATTTTGTTATATTAAAAATTCAGTTAGATTACTTTGACTTTTAATTCAATTGCAGTTCGAAAATTCAGTTTTTTGTGTCACACATCATGGTCCTTGAAAAAGAGAGAGTGTAATCAACCACAGACTGACAGATTTATGTTTCACATCAGTCAAGCTTCCTTTCTGAAATGCAGACATTCAGCAGTAATCAGTGTTACCAGATATATGATAATTAGAGGTGTCCCGATACCGATACCAGTATCGGAATCGGATCCGATACCAGCATCAAGTACTCGTACTCGTAAAAGCCAGCCGATACTCTTAACCGATACCACTTTTGTCCCCTCCTGTGCTGCGCTGAAGCACAAAGGGTAAACAACAATCCATACCAGGCGGGGGCGCTAACGCACTGACACGTTATTTCCGACCGCACCCCCGAATAACAGAAGAAGAACGATGAGAAGAGAAGAAAAGAAGAAGAAGAAGTAACATATCGGCAGTTTGGAGATATTTAAGAGCAGCACGGAGGAAACAGACTGTCTACTGTGCTCTGCTAACTGTCAAGAGGAGGAGTGAAAGTTGGATGTTTTAACAGCAGCAGTTTGATTCAACATTTGAGGACAAGACATGACGAAGAATTCAAAGAGTTTCTGCTGCTGCTAGCAGTAGCCTTCATAAACAGCACTATGCTGCAGTTGTTGCAGTAACTTCAATGCTGTTTTTTCTTTCTTGTAGAACAAACTAAGACATAAGCAGAATATGGAAGGAAGTTTGTTGTAAAAGCATTTTATTTTTTCACTCTGGTTCTTCTGAGACTGCTTTAGTTGTTCCATTTAAGTTTGAACTGAAATTTACTGCAATTTATTACTATTAGTCATTTTTTAACAGTTTAAGACTGAAGCAGAGTAAACTTCTATAGATGGGCTG